CCCCACCCACCACACCTGCCTGTACTGACCCCTGCCGGCGTCTGCGGGCTCTTTTCATGCCGTTACCCTCTTGTTCTTCATCACCGGCCACGCTGGCCTTCACACGTGTGGTACTCGGACTCAGCTCTGATAAGTCTCTGCCCAGGGCAGGCTCTTGGTAGCTGTTGGAGACGTGAATGGTTCTTTAATCTATGGATTTTCAGACACTGTTTAACCTGAGGGATCATTGCTTTCTAAGGAAATTTTATGTAGAATGCAAGCATATAAAGTAAATGAAAGAGGCATTACTCTGATTCTCATGGGCACAAGGAGTTCAGGGACCACCTCTGGGTACCAGTGCTTCTTCTGGAAATGTAGGGTTCCACAGCTCATGGTTTGTAAGGCATTGATCTGTCCCATGGTGCCTGCCTGTCTTCTGGGTTTACAGTCTCTGCTTCTCTGAATGTGGACCAGTGTCCTGTAGGTGTGTGGAATGTGCTTCCTATCTTACTGAACTGCTCTCTCCCTTCATAGCTTGCTTTCTTACATGCCAAACACTCTGTTGTTGAAAAGTCAAAACATGTAGGTGGGAAAATGACGTGGATGTATGAAACTTAAATAAAACATATAGATGAGTAACTTCCAAATAGTTCCCATAAGCATCATAAGAGTCCAGAGAATCAAGAATTTACTGGAGGTTAGAGAGGAGCAGGAATAATTCATGGGGTTTTTGGGATGTAAGATGAGGATCAGAAAACAGTAAGGAATAGAAAGAAATGATCCAGATGGTCTCCCGTGCATTTTAGTCTGAGCAAAGCTTAAAGCAATGAGAAAGTTGTGGTAATCGAGAGGGAGCCTGGATCAACCTCACTCCCGTTACGCGGTAGACTGGGAACTGTTTGACATCCCTTTGCAAGAGCGTTGAGGGCTGCACTATGGAGACACATGCAAAGCTGTAAATGAGTGGGAGCCATAGAAGTGTGCAAGGGAGCTCAAGGAGTAGTAACTTTATAGGTAAATGTGTTGAAAACACGCTCTGTGTCAGGCGCTATTCTGAGCACTTTGTGTGAATTTCTTATCTTCACAGTTCTTACAGATAAATGCGGTCATTACTTCCACTTACAGGTGAGGAAACTCAGGTGCTGCCATGTTAAGCTACTTGCCCAAAGTCATACAGATTTCGTAAGGGAAGCAGGCAGGATTTGATTCTATAGCTGTCTGTTAACTTTCATGCTGAAAGAAACCAGACGAGGAAAACCATTTTTAACATGATCCAAGTCAAGAAATGAGGAGGATCTAAACCCAGATTTATTGCTTTGGGCTAATCGTAGAACATACAAGGACTGGAGTTCCCTGCTCTGAAAATAATTGAACCTCTAGAGTGGTGTCAGTGGGCATGGAAAAGGGATGTGTTCAAGAGACATTGACGTCCTTGGGACGTAGAGTAAATGTGGAAGTCCTTTGATCACTGGAAAGTTCCATATATATGACCTCTCTGCTTTTAGGGTCCACACGTGCTATTTTATTAATTTTCCCACAGGTGGACAGGCTCCCAGGGCCAAAACTCATTGGAGCAGTTTGTGAACCTTACAACGATTGATCACTTTCCTGGAGGGGAAATGTCTGTCTCAAGAACCGTGGTTGGTAACCTGCTCAGGGAAGTCTACTCAGGAGACGAAATCCTAGCGCATAAGGTTATTCAGTGCAAGAAGAGTTAAAGGGAGTGACTATTCATAAGGGATATTTCCATTGAGCTTGGGCAGCCTGCTGAATTACACTCCTCTACTGGAGGATTTTTCTGTGTAAATATCCGTGATTATATGTTTAGAAGCAGAGCATCCTGTTCTCCTCAGAGCTGTGCAAATATTCTGTGAATTCTTCCTCTCCAACCCCCACCACCTCCCCCTTGTCCTGTTTAGAGGGAAGTTGTGTCTGGAAACGATTTTGATGTACAGGAAGGAGCGCAGGCTGGGGAGTAGGCAGACCTGAGTTCCAACTCTGGCTCCCTCACATGTGACCTTTGGGATCTCCGCCAGATTATGTATCTTCTCTGTGTCTTGGGTTCTTCCTCTGTCAAACAGCGTGGTCACATCTACCTTTGCAGCGTTCATCAAGGGCATGTGAAGTGTGGAAAGGAGTGCCTGGCGCTCAGATGTGTAGTGTAAGGTCACAGACGCTTCAGGGAGCTGGGCCAGTTCCATAGCACAGACAGGACATTACACCCTCGCGGACATATGCTGATGTAGTAGTTATTGTTGACATAAATATCATGTCCTACCAGGAAAAAAATATTATTGAATGAACTAAAATTTCCTTTTAAAAATTTTAATCATATTCTGATTCTTGCTTCTGAGGCTACATCTTGGTTGTCCCACCGTCACATTCTTGGTCAAGGACATTTTGGCAGATGTCTGTACTCACCTATTATGAGTTGATTTTTACCATTTCCAGAGTAACCATTCACTGACCTGAGATTCCGACAGCATCTTACCAGTGCCCCATGTGCACTCATTGCTTTCCACTTGTGTGAACATCTGCCCTAGCCTGGATTGCTCTCTTGAATAATGTGTCATCATTTTGCCCTGCTTTGCTTACTGGTCTCACTGAGGGACGCTCTTGCTTTCCTAACCCCTCCTCTCCATCATCACCCATGTCAGTGACTTGCTTACTGCCTTAATTTCCGCTTAACCTCGATTGCCTAAATGAAGTTGTCCTAGACTCTACTGAATTGTCCTGTGTAGATACTCTCTAAATCTTGGCCTTGTCACTGGGTGACTCATAGAAAGATGGGACCATTGGCAGAAACGGAGAGGTCAAAAGGGGAGCTGACAGGAGGGGAAGCTAAGTGTAATTTACGACACAGTTCGTTTAAGCACAGGGGACATTTAGGCGGTTAGAGATAAGCGGCTGAACTCCAGTTTGGAAATCAATGTTTTTTAGTAATACTAGCAGATAAAGTTCATTCCTTAGGTATTAATTCCTTAAATGTTGAGTGAGCCTAGGCGGTTGCCAGGCACCATGCTAAGTGCTGGGGTGCAGAAGGGAGTGGTTTGGAATCCTTTAAGGAGCTCACGCTCAGGAGTAATCAGCAGGTGTGATCTATCTGTGTACGTATATCTACTTATTTACCCGTAGCCCCATTGCTTCCATTTAATATCCAGAATATGAAATGTGGTCATTAAATCTGGAAAGGAGGATGGGAGTTAGGAGAACAGCATTCTGAAACTGATTAGCCGTATGACGAAGGCACTATTCTGAGCCTCAGTTTCTCTTTGACAAGCTAAGAGCATTGAACAAGGTTAAATGTTTTCAACTCATCTCTTGTAGAATCAAATGGTTCTGCAAAGATTCCAGAAACATTTGACTCTAAACGCTTTTGAAAAGTGTAATAAGAATACTATGCACACTTAAACAGATGTAATATATACCTAGACTTCGCCTCGTCAGGAGAGCCTCATTGTTCCTGACCCAAGCATGTAATTAAACATTACAAAGTTGACCCAAAGGTTGCCAATCTGACTTTGCTGTCTAACTAAAAAATGCACGAGCAGATTAATGGAATATTGATTTTTTCTGTTTTATTTATTATGTTTCATGCAGTATTTTGCTTGACCAGTGAGTTCTATTAAAAAAATTTCCCTCAATAGCCCACATCTGCCACACCCACCTCAGCTCTGAGAAGCTAGGGTTTTCATGACTCATGTAATAAAAGTGTGGGTTTTTTTGTTTTTTGCGGGTTTTTTGCTGAGGAAGATTAGACCTGAGTTAATATCTGTTGCCAGTCTTCCTCTTTTTTTGCTTGAGGAAGATTAGCCCTGAGCTAACATCCGTGCCAATCTTCCTCCACTTTTTATGTGGTTTGCTGCCACAGCATGGCTGATGGGTGGTCTAAGTCTGTGCCTGGGATCTGAACCCAGGCCACCAAAAGAGAGTGCTCCAAACTTAACCACTGTGCCGTCAGGTCAGCCCCATAAAAGTGATTTTTACTTAAAATCATCAGAATGGATGGTTCTTTCTGATTTTACAGCTATTAAGATTTAATTGATAACATACAGCCCATCCATTTAAAGTGTACAATTCGGTGGTTTTAGTGTATTCAGAGAATTGTGCAACTACCATCACAATCATTTTAGAGTGTTTTCACCACACCAGAAGAAAGTCTGCACCCCTTAGCAATGCCTCCTAATGCCCCCACTCCCCAGCTCAGCCTGAACCTTAGCAACCAACTCACCTACTTTCTTTCTCTGTAGATTGGCCTGTTCTGGACCTTTCCTGTAAGTGGAATCATACAATAAGTGATCCTTTCTCAATGGCTTCTGTCACTTAACATAATGTTTTCAAAGCTTATCTATGTTGTAGCAAATATCAAAACCTCATTTATTTTTATTGCCAAATAATCTTCCATTTTATGGATGGATCACATTTTATCTATCCATTCATCAGTTTGTGGACACTTGGGTTGTTTCCACCCTTTAGCTATTATGAATAATACTGCTGTTATGAGCGTTTGTGTACAAGTTTCTGTGTGGACATAAGTGTTCATTCCTTTTGGATGTGTACCTAGGAGTGGAATTGCTGAGTCACATGGCAATTCTGTAGTTGACCATCTCAGGAACTACAAGGCTGTTCCACAGCTGCCGCATGGCTTTGCGTTCCCACCAGCAGTGGATAAGGATTCAGACCTCCCCATTCTCACAAACTCCGTCGTCATCCTAGTGGATGTGAAGTGGTACCTCTTTGTGGTTTCGATTTGCATTTCCCTGAAGGTTGACTGGATGATTCTTGAAAGAAAAGTGCCAGAATGACAAAGGCAGAAACTGGGAGAAAGTACAGAGAGAGAAAGAGTATGAGGGGTGGAAAGGTAGAAGTGAGAGTTGCTTAGAGAACTGGCCAAGAGATAGCGTGTGGTAGGCAGGGCAGTGCTCCATAGACTAATTTTCTGGATTATGGCCATGGCACAGCCTCAGTGGTGATAAAGTTACAGTCCTTCATGGGAAGGTAGGGTGTCTTTGTGTGTAGCTCCTACTTCAGTTTCATCAGAGTGGTCAGGGTCTGCTCACTCCTCCTCCCCACCTGCTTCCTGACTCTGTGAGCTCTGGTCATCTCTGCCACTGTAACTAACTTTGCATTGCCCTTCACTCAGAATGCCTGCCCCTACTTTCTTTATCCATCCCAATCCCATCCTTATTACTGGGGGACACTGCAGACTCTTCTGACCTCTTGGATGACATCCACATGTCCCTTTTTAGCCCCTGTGCAGTACTTAGGAGGTTTCTACTACTCAGCTCCATACTGAGAGATGAAATTGTCTTGCATTGTTTGCATTGCTGTATGTGTGGTTTCCAGTATCCCCATGTGTTCCTTCGGGGGAAGGAGTGGTTTAGACTACTCAATATTGCCTATAAACGAGAAACATAATAGGTGCTTAGTGCACATTTGTTGAAATAAATCAGAGCGTATTTCTTTTGTTTCCTTCTAAACTCTTATTAGAATTTCATAAATGCAGACAGGTTCTCACTGGCCTTAGGAAAAAATACCCTCCTCATAAATTCATTACTGCAAAATAAGGGGAAGAGTTTATATTTTCAGATAAAAATAAGTTTATTTCCATGTCAGGTTGCATTTACAATTATGACATTTCTTTAGGGAATTGATCACTTATGAAGGGTCTGGGGCATGCCATCTCCGCTTCTTACATTCAGGGACTTGTTCTATATATGAAATTATTTTTGAAACTTCTGTCCGTGTGTAGTCAAAGTCAGATTGCTAATATTGATGTGAGGTGGCATTTCCCTCTAGATTTTAAAACCCTAGTGCTCGCAGGGTGGGGCGCTTCAGCTCAGGATTCTGTTATTGAGCCGTCTTCAAGGCCAGTCTTTTGGACATTGTACTCCACTGCTGTCCTTGAGCTCTCAATCTGAAAGTAGAGATGGGCGAAGTCAAGCAAACAAGGCAGAGGTTACCGTGCGGGCCAACAGGAAGCAGATGGGAGTTGGCAGGCTGCAGGGCGCTCCCGCCAGAGGCCTTCCCTTCAGAGACCAGGATTACTTGGACTGGAAATCTGACCAGGAGGGGACTCCCTCAGCACCTCAGTGAAAGGGTGACAGAGGTCAGAGGAAGGTGATGGTGACAGAAGGGCAGAAGAAGCACAATCACCTGTGGGTTGCCCCATAACAGCAAATTTCTAATACAGCATATAAAGCAAGTGGGAATGATGTCACAAACCTGTACAGATAGGTCCACACCTGGGGAGGTGTCCTGGGAAGGACTGTTTCCATAATTTGGTAGAAATACATCTGCACTGGCTGGATCCCAATGTTAAAGCTCTCCTGAGGATCGGGAAACAGGTTATGAGTAGCTGGAATGTAGGATAAAATAATTATTTAGACTTTGTAATAAAACAGTAAAATGTATTGTAAATGGTAGGCAAATTGTGTGTCACAGGTTTTCATGATTCTGGGCAAGCACTGGGGCATGAATTCCTGTGGCTCACAGTTGCATGTGAACCACTCAGCAGCTGCTCAGCTGCCTCTGGAAGGACTGACTGCAAAGTGAAACCAGAGTACGTGGGATTACTCTGTGGCAAGCAGGAGCGGACAACGTTTACTGAACACCTATTAGGTTGTGCGCATTTTGCTGGACGCGGTAGACGTTTTCTTGTTCGCTCTTTCCAGTGGCCCTCTGCTTGTTCCTTTCTCTGCATTCTCGCTTTAAATGTGAGGAAACTGAGACTCAAGGAAGTTAAGGAGCTTGGCCTACTCGTGCATTAAGTAAATGGCAGAAACACAGGGAATCCACGTCCTTTTGATTCCATAGACCGTGTTTTTTCCTACACTTGACGGTGCTTCAGGTGTGTTGTTAGGGTCTCGTAGTCTTCATACCTGATCAAACGCCTTTTGCTTTTACTCAGAGAAAACAAAACAAAAAGGAAAATGCAAAATATCACAAGGTACATTTTTCAAATAAATTCAATCCTTTGTTTCTTTTATCCTTATTTCCATTATTTGCTGGTTTTGGTAATCACTTCTTATTTCATTGTTTAGATTTAACAATATACATAGGTAATAAAAATAAATCTAATGACTATATTCAGTTAAATTAAGCTAGTTATATTTTAAAATGGTCTATTACTGTACCACAAAAAGTAGATATGTATTATATATCCTGTCTAATGTTACTTGCACATACTGCCTTCAATATGTACTTCTGTTACTTTATTAAATAACCATGCCAGTGTCTTCTCAAACCCACCCACTTTTAGATATAATATTTATGACTGAATTCTAGTAGAAATCAGAATTTGCCAGCTAACGTGGAATTGGAAAATGCCTTCATTCAAAATTTCCTACAAATGATCTTTAGAAATGTATTTTAAATTTCCTTCTAGTGAAACCGACTTAGAGTAAATCTTAATGGGCTAGAATAAAATAGATTTGGGATTGATTTTTCCCATAAAATATGCAAAGCCGTATTTTTTAAATAGATTTTTTTTCTCTGAGATATTGCTCCTTTTCTCTGGTTGACAATGAATTTGTCTAAAACATTTCTTTTTCAGATTTTTCTTAGATTACAACAGAATTAACACCTTAGAATTGCCAAGGAGGGTGGAAAATATAAAGTCCAGATTCTAGACCATGTTAACTTCAAGCCAGCCTTTTGCCTGTAGCTGTTCTCAAGAATTATGTGCAAGTTTTACTACATTTAAAAACTGCTTTCAGGCTCAATTCTTCAGAATATTATCATGTGTTAGGCAATATAACCATGCAGGATTGTAACCAGCCAGAACAACGTTGGGTTACCCCCTCACACGTCCACTGGCAGACTGTATGCCCCAGACAACGTCTATGCAAGGCGTCCCTCTACATCTTTCTCTTTTGCTTGCTTCTTGTGAGTTACAAAGATTCGTACTGTGCCAGGCGCTAAGCTGGTTTCAACAGCTATTTATTTAGATTGTGTGAACTGGAGCTGAACTTGAACCCAATTAATAGCAACTGAACTTGAACAAACTGATATGAAATCATTACGGGCTCAGTTCCCTGGTCCATTATCCCTGAAGAGATCATCCGACAGCACTCCAGGTGCCTTTTTCATGCCAAGTCCTGGTGCAGTGCCCAATCAGAAGGTGCCGGGGGATTAGAAGTCGGGTTGCATCGGAGTTGGCTCATTACCACATTGGTGATCGCTTTCACGGAGAGGAGAGGGGGTGATCCCACTGGGCAGGACTGTGGAGAAGGCTTTGTTGTCATCACCATCTGGCACATGGTTGGCACTCATTAACACAGCACAATGTCGATTAAAATCATGGTTGTACAGGGCGGCGGTGCGCTTAGACAGGTCCCCACCTTTGGCCTCCCAGCAAAGGAAATGGAAGAAAGGGAAAGCTGGGGAGTTACCTCTGGTAACTATGGTCACTGAGTTTGCATCTTTCTTGGTGCCCCCAAATCATTTATTTTTATTTTCATGTATTTATTTATTTTTAGCAGCAGTGGATTTTCTTTTTCCTTTTTTTTTTTTTTTTGGACTGGGATTACAATGAGCCTGACCCCATTCCCAGTTCCCAAGGACCCTAACTGTGGCGCTCCAGCTGTGTAGCTAGATGCCCTATGCTGTACGGCAGCTGGAACAAACTTGCCAAAGGGCATTTTACACAGTGATAGTTCCTCTTCAACGTGAATTAAATGTAATTGAGGTGTTTAGGCTTTCCTCCTTTAAAGAATACACTGATGGACTCACCCTTCAGGTGCTTAGTAAGAGCTGCATGTCCTTCCTTACGAAAACAAATGTGCGCTTACATTAGCATCTCTAGGACTTGGTCTGGCAGCATCTGCTTTGGTTTGTTCACAGGCATCTCCTTGAAGGGTGCACTGTGCGTGGGGATAGTGGTACAGGCTTTCGAAGGCAACTGCTTGGGTTTGAATCCCCCTTTTGCCAAATAGTAGGTGTGTGACCAGAAGCAAATCACTTACCTTTTCTTGGTCTCCATTTCCTTAGCTGTGGCATGGAGTAATAGTCATCCTCAAGCTTTAGAATCACTGTGAAGATTAACAAGCAAGCAAAGCACTTAGAATTGTGCCTCGTGCTTGGTGAGCTCTTGATGAGGCTGCCGTGATCATGTAAGCATCTCCATCATTTTCTGCCAGGGTTCATTCTTCCTCAAGAATGTACCTCGTATCTATTTACTTTTTTCTTCCAAATGGTAGGACTTGCTAGCTGTGGTAACGGAGGTGGTGGTTAAGGGGGCATTTGTCCAGAGATGTTGATCAACTCTTTCCGATAAGACATTATGAGTTAATTTCTTGTCATGCTAGACCGGTGTGAGAAAAAACCATTTGATGTGGATAATTTCCATGTATATATATCACGCTTTCATACCATGATTGTTAGTGAAGCATCGCATTTGTTTCCAGAGCAGATCGTACGAGTCTCCGCTACAGAAACTTGTTGTGTGTTTCAGGGCTATGGGTAGGTGCTGTCACTAACCATCACGTGGTTTTCTCTGCCTGTGGAACCAGGAACAGCATGTCCTCCGGCAACCTAATGATTTGTGTCCTGTGACACTGAGTATAACCAGGATTTTCTATTCTGTTTGCCGTTTGGTATGTGGAAAAGCCTTCAAGAAACTAGTTTTCTGCAGGAGTGTTTAAATATCATTCATTCTCCAAGAGAAGATGACAGACATTTTAGATGCAGGAGAAAGATTAAATGCATTCGGTTTAACTAGCGGCACTAAAAAGGGCTGCATCTTTGTGTCGTTGCTGTTTATCTTCTTTCCAGCAGTAGAATATTGAGCCTCCCCAGGCTGTGAATCAGCTATTAATGCTGAGTTTAAGTCGGGCAAGAGTGTGCTCAGTCTGTGACACTTAGATAGCGAAGGCAACTGCTCACGGCTATTAGTCGGGAGTTGCTGTATGCCAGTGATTGCAGACTTGCGGCTCATAATCGGGGTGATTCACAGCAACCGTTAGATGGGCTTGCCATGGCTGAGTTTTCCTTTTGGACTGCTGTCATTGCCAAAAAAGTCAGGATTTCTCCACCACAACTGCCCGTATGACACAGGCACAGCGTCCTTCAGTTGTGCTAAATAGCTTGCCGCTAACATCACGGATAACTTTTATTATCTTGGAGGCGTTGTCTTCCACCAGTCCCGTGAAGAATAAATTGGAATAAATGTTTTCTCATTTTTTTCCTAAGTGACACTCTGGGACTGCTGACAGAATTTGGGCCACAGTGTCTTCTCTGGCAGTTTGGTCTCCAGATTCTCTGCCTTGGTTTGACTATGCACTCACGTGAGAATCAGCAGAGTGATGTTGTTACTGGTTTTTCTGTATCCATGGCACTGGATCAGTGGTCTGGGTTCCTGTTGAGCAGACACGTAAAAGGCCAAGAGTCTTTCTGGGTTTATCACTAGCCTGCCTCTGAGGTCCAAGGTGACTCCTACTCCACGTCTTCTACCCCCGACCCTGATCCCTGACCCGTCACCCCTTGACACACATACACTTTGTATCTGATCTTGGAAGTCTTAATCAGCAACCTGGATTGCTGATTTGTCATTTAGTTCTGTGTATTCTGGTTCAGACCCACCTGTGTCCCTGCACGACTGCTTAACTTACACCTGTCCCAACTCCCTTGAGTCTTTCCTTGACTTAACAAACCTTTGTACAGTGCCCACAGAATGCAGGGGTCTGGGCATACAGCAGTAAATAGGTACACAAGATCTCTGTCCTCAAGAAGCTTCCATCCTAGCCGAGTCAGAAATTACACATGTAGACAAATGTACAGAGTATTTCTGATAGTGACATTGTAATGAAGAAAATCAAGCAGGATAAAGGAATGGAGAGTGATTGAGAGGAGAGGGCTCAGCTGGTGCTAAGGCCCTGGGGCTGCTGTCTGGGAAGATCCAGGGCCAGGCAGGGGCCAGGTGGCTGGAGTGCAGTGGCCAACGGGTGGGGGTCAGGCCAAATCACAGAATCTTGTAGGTCTTGGTAAAAATCCAATGTGGTTCTATTGGAAATGGTCAGAAATGAGGATTTGAAGCAGGAAAGTGCTAGAATCTGATTTACATCATTTCTCTGTTTCTGCCTCTTTGATTTAAGCATCATCTCCAGTTCCAGAGTACTGGCCTCTATCTTAACTTCTGCCTGTATTTTTGGCATTTAGCTTTGAAAATGTCCACAAATGTGTGTGCACTTGGTTCTCATTATCTTGCTGTGTCTAAAATATGGACAGCTTTGTTTTGGGCATCAGGTCTTCCTCCTCTCTCCACCATCACCCACCACCACTCTCAGCCCCTCCTCCTGTGGGAGGCCAGCCGTAACTACAACACTCTGCAGCGTCTCTGTGCCTGCTCATCACCATTCCTGTTGCTCACACGTCCTCTAAGTCTCTCTCTCCTCTGGGCCGGGAGCTCTTCCAAGGTCGTCCCCTTCTCTTGTTCATCTAAGTTTCCCCAGCTTCCACCTTAGTGCCTTGAACATGGTAGGAGGTGGGGGGGGGGGGGGGTGGATGGAGGGATGGAAGGATGGATGGATGGATGGAAGGATGGAGGAATATGTGAATACTCACTGAGCGATTACCTACTAAGATGCCAGCTCTCCAACAGCTACACTATAGTTGTCCCTTTTGCTCCTGCAGCCCTTTGGGGTGACTGCTCAGATATCCTTAGTGACATTATCTTATGCATCACTGTGTACCAGTCAGTCTCTTCAGGGCCTTTTGGGGGTCAAGGACTGTGTCATATTCATCTTTGTTTCCCCAGGTTTTAGCACAGTTCTGAGCACTCAGCAAGTTTCCAGTAAATACCTGAGCAAAATAAACGTTACACAGGACGTCAAGCTGCAAGACAGAAGGCTCTGGAAGTAGATGATCAGCCTTCCTCCTGGGCTGACTGTGTTTCCTGGAGGAGGTTGCCATCCCCTAGAGACCTCCCAAGCCAGTGTGGGCTGCAAAGCTGCCACTTAGCATCCTCTGCAAGGCAGATTTAGAACTGTGGCTGTTGTCTTTTGAACACTTTTGACCATGACAGAAAGCAAGAAGATGCATTTTACAGGGCAACCCAGCACACACATGCGTGTGTAACTGATCTATAAAACAAAGCGTATCTTTCTTATGTGTAACACGGTCTGATGTTTTCTATACCATCCCCGGTATAGAATGCTGATCATGACCCTTAAATTGATTGCAAGGCTCATGAATGGATTGAAACCTGCAGAATGAGAAAATCCTGCTTTCAAGGATCTAGAGATTCTCCTGAGCTGAATTTCAGAGACAGCAGCGTGAACTCTGCCTGGCACTCAGGAGGCCTGAGTGCACTCTGCTGTCTGTTGAATATTTGCACAAAACTAACAGTGACCATGTGGCAACCAAATAGAACAAGCCAGCACTGATGGACACTTAGGTTGTGTAGGGGAGCACCTCTGTAATTTAGAGTTAAATTGTTTGAATGCTGAAAAGTTGTTGGAAGTCGGTCTCCTCGCCATTCGGTCCATCGTATCCATATACAACATTGTGAATGTTTTAGGCAAATGTGTTGCTTCTAAAATGAAACCGTGGGCCCACTGAGATATAGGGAATGTAACATTTCTTCTGCCAATATGTTTATATAAATATTGCTGTCGTTAAGCATGCTCAAATAGCAGAACTATTTCAGTCTTTTTATCTCTTTAAAACTAATTTAAATCTGAGCATTAAAAGACTGTTTGATACCATATGTTTGTTTTAGATAGGAAACGAAATCTATTCTAAACATAAGGGTTTATGAAATCTGTATTCTAAACATAAGGGCTTGTGAAATTAGTACATAGGAGTGGAAGTGGAGTAGACTGTTTCACAGACACAGGTTCTTGCCATCTTCGTCTGTCTGACCCTGGCAGTGTGACTTTGCTGCTCCTCCCACGCAGGGGGAGAGTGCATCTCCTCACCCCTTGCTAGGAATCCAACATTTGCTGGGTAGTGAGCATTTTTATGGTGGTATATAAGTTGAGTCTGAAATTGCTGGGTTTTCTCTTCAAAGATCATTTAAAAGCTACTTTTGAAAATGACCAGGGCCTGTGGACAAGGAGTATCCCAAGCCTTTGGTGAAAATATTGGATAGACTTTAAGAACACAACCAAAGACTGTCACAAACCAGAAAGATACACATCAGACATCCCACATAGTGGTTACAGGGAAGGAACTAATTAAATCATTTCGCGATGTCACTGGCACATCTGAGCATTCGCCTATTTCATTTTGGGGCCCAAATAACTCCTCTGTTTCTAGATAGATAACATAGTATGAGATGACCTGGATGAGCGCAGTACAAAGACAGTTCCGATAGCGCCGAACTTTCATATCAAGCTTATAAGGGCAATTCCTCCTCTTCCATGTCAGCCTTTTTTGAAAACAGCACCGTCTATTGGTTTGCTTGCCCCAAGAAGACCTGAAGATGCGATCAGGATCCTTCTCAAATTACAGGAGTCTTGTCTCAGGAACCATTTGACAAGTTTAGATACCGGCCTCTTCCCAGCACCTGCGGCGTAATGCTTTTCATAGGCGTAATGCTTTTCATAGGCGGTGGGCCTGTGCTGTTATGTTGCCTTGTAAGATTCCCTCTCATCTTGCTAGATTACACCTTAATTTGCTATTCTGTGACTTCTTATCAATATTGTCTGTCTCATGCTGTGTGGTTAAACTAAGTACTGTCCTAGTACAAGGCAGCACCCATAAGTATAGTGGGCTTGTGACATAAGCTGGATAGAACAAGTATCACCTTCAAGTTAGTAAACATCTCGCATTCTGGTATAATTTGGTTTATTCCTAGGACCTGTGGGAAAATAGTGATATAAACTTACTTGTTCTGTCCCTTAAAATAGTCATAGGTTTTCAATCTTTGGCTTGTTTTATTTAAATTGATTGAAATCTAGTCATTCTTGTGACTCACAAAAACTCATTTGTAGAAATTGTTTTAAATTCAAACCAAACTTTCTATTCCCCATGCTTGGTATTAGCAGAACCTCTGTGTCTAAATGTCTTTCCTGTGAAAGTTAGAGCTTTAATGCTGTTAGCAAGAGCAATTTCCCTCTTCTGAAGGATCAAAGAAATACCATCTAGTTTTGTACCTGTGGCCTGTGGATTTTGATGCACGTTGAATCTGATGCCAAGAGTTACACAGAAAGTCAATAATGATCCATGGGTCATTGCCTCGCCATGCCGCTGGGCGAATTAGTCTGCTGGTGTAATGTGCTCCAGCTTGTGTAATGGACCTGTTTAGTAGCAAGACGGCAGCCATATGAAACACCTGGGTGGTCTTCCAGGCTACTTGCAAGTGAATTAGATTTCAGTTATCTAATGTGAGGTCACAAAGGCTTGGACAGCTGGGACTGGTTCCACATCATGGATAGAATATGACCCCTGCCTGCCAGATGCATCAGGTAAAAGGGGCCTGAAGTCAAAGCTGGTTCCTGGGCTCCAGGAGTAGCTATGGGTCAACAAATGAGGTCGTAAGCCACAGCTACAGATGTTGGGACAGTCTCCATGCAGGACAGGACAGGATGGAGTCAGACTGTCTTCTGGCACTTTCGTTAGACGTGTTCCCTGCCAGGGAAGCCCAGATTCTGTGTTTTCTGGAGTGAGCTTTAGTTGATTGACTCTTCTTTAGAATTTTAAGTGCTGTTAAGTAGAAACTATATTTTACGTACCAGAAGTAAGGGCCTGAGAGGCATTAGGTCCCTTTGCTACTACACAGAAGACAGCATTTAGGGCACACAGGTATTGGCATAAAACCATCTTTTGAGCTTTCCTAAGCTCAAATGACAGTGGCTCCATAACGCGCCACTTCTTCTAGTCCTGGAGGGACTTCGAACAATCCAATAAAATGTAGTGATCAAAGGTTTCAAATGCAGCTGATAAATCATATAGATTTGCACCCAGGATGCCTTCAGTTGTCTTGTGGATGTTTCTCATCTATCATGAAGGACTTGGTGATTTGAATTTAGGACTTTGATGTTGCCAGTAATTGTTTGCAACTGGAGCTGAACAGCCTCAAGGCATTGCTGATTTCTCCCTTTCTCATCTTGCAAAGAGCTAGTGAAGTATTCTTTCAGAGGCTGTTCTCAACTCAATGGGAGATGTGGCCTAAAATTTAGGATGGAAAAGATTCCACAAACACTTAGTCCAGAGCAATCTCGCTGCCCTAATGAGCCGTCCCAAATGTGTTCCATGCTGAACCGAGCAGTCCTCTCAAGTCCAAACCCCCTTCTCTGGACACATAATAAGATTCACTTTATGATTTTCCAAACGGAATTGCTAAAGAAACCATTGGGATATCTCTTTTAGCCAACATTTTTCATATATTCATAAGCTACAAATGTCTTTCTAAAATGTATTTTAACCAGTTCCTCAATACTTGAAAAAAAAATGCTATGGATTGTCTCCCTTTGGAAGTCTCACTGCTATTTGAATTAAATTAAAACTCTCTCATTTTAAGACCTCCTAGTAATGTTCTTCTAACCAGATTCCTTAGTCTCAATCAATTTCTTCTTCGGTCACTTGGTCCATGCCTGTTTTCTGGCTGAGCAAATTTTATCAGGATCCATGTGTGGATGTCCATCTCTAGCCTCGAAAACCAAGTGCCTGTCTGCCTACTGTAAATATCTTAGTCATCATTTAATACAGTTTATCAGCTCATGTATCTTCTGCATTTCAACTGCGTTTAAAAGTCAGCTCTTCCGAAGAATCTTTTCAAGTAAACTCAACTATTATCCTTCTGGTTATTCCATGGGTTGCCATAAATCTTATGAATATAGTCTAAACTCTTAAATACCTAGGATGTAAAACTGTAAACTATAGAAAACTGACAGATCAACCGACCAGACAATAGAGTCCTTCATAAACCACAGTAATTGACAGGACTGTAGTCAAAGTTTCAGAGCCTCTGCTGGAGTTGTTTACCATTGGTGTTGATGTCACTGTTATGCTCATTTATCATTAAGTTAGGAGGGTGATAATATATGCTGCATACGTGTGAATAGTGTTTGTTTTAAAATTAATGTTGATACTGGAGAAAAGTGTTAGGTGACGGGAGACAAACCCGACAGTAGTGATTTATTTACATAATGGAGGCATAGACCCTCTTCATGAACAACAGGAAAAATTCCCTTGTCTGGGACATGCCAGATTCCAAAGATTTCTGAATTTAGAGGTTAATCTTTGTTCCTCTGGCTCTGTGTAGTTCAGTTTAGCACGCATCTCAGTACCCACTCTGCTAGGGATCCCAAGAGATGGAGTAGGGTGAGCTGCTGGCTATCAAAGAGCTTACAATGTACGCTTGCTCCCACCCTCTCCTCCCCATCACTCTCTCTCTCTCTCTCTCTCTGTCTCTGTCTCTCTCATATTCTTAAGAACTTGCTTTACCCTATCTTCAACGCCCATATTTATTTGTGTGCTTCTTTATTATCTGTCTGCCTGCAGCTGTCTACAGCTCTGCAAGATCGGGAGCTTTGTGTGTTCTGTGCGATGTATCCAGAGTGCCTAGAAGACTGTCTCGGGTATTTTACGCATTCGGTAAATATTGTTAAATGAGGAGACCAGAGGGAGACAAGAAAAATACAACCATCACGTAAGACAAAACAGGACGTGACATACCCTAAAAAGCTGCAGAAGCAGATCTATGTGTTGTGGGACTCGATTTAGGGAATTTGGGGAGCCTGCTACTTAAGAAAAGGATTATAAATTTTAAATTCAAAGGAACACATAAAAATGAATGCTTATTTAGAATGGGGAAAAAAATCTCAACAGTTTACAAATTTGATAAAGCTAATATACTAGACATGTCAGAAAATATGAAAAAACAATATTTTATTAATGATATATTAATTGATTACAGATTAATACCTGAAAATACCTCTATTATACTTTTCCCTATAATTTTTGACTGACTATTCTTTAATAACCTCTTCATATATAGTATTTTTAATACATTGAATAAATGGATAATTCAATATTTGCTCTACCATGGTTAATCAAAATATTTTTTGTTGTTTAGTATTTCGGATGTATAAACATGGGACTTCATACACACATACGCTACAGGTTTGTGTCTTACTAGCACAAGGATTTTAATTTTATGCTGCATTTTCAAGTATATACTATATAGGAGAGAATTTCCCATTTGTCAAACTATTATTGAGAACTGAATTATCTGAATACTGAATTGTATACAATTTTATACATTGGGTGAGTGAAAGAATTTTCCATAAACTAGCTTCTGACTTTGTACATTTCAAATCTTGTTTCTCTTCTAGCACCCACACCCTTCTCATGCTGGGTGCAAAAAGAGCACAGTCATTTCGTTTCGTCACCTGGCCCTGCACCTTTGCATCATGATGCTGGGTGAACCAACACAGTAGGTAATAGGGATATTCCGCTATTCCTTGTCAGGATGACTGGCGGCAACTGTACACAGAAATATCTATGAACCACACAAACATGGTCCATTATGCTCAGATGAAATATATCTCCACCTCAATTGCCTCTTACCTGGATCCCAGGAATGCTCTTGGGCACTCTAGGTTCACCCAACAGGAGGGCGAGTGTTGGAGGGGACATCGGAGTTGAAAGAAATAACACAATTAACCTATTGCAATTAAACCATGTTACTTATGTAAAATTTACAAAATCACATAATTGTGTGATCATGTTGCTAAAGTTCCTCCTGGGATCTTGTAAGGGGCCCATGCAAACGAGGGGCCCTGAAGTTAGGCTTTGTTAGCTCCACAATAAATCTGTCTGGGTAGGCCAAGGGTGTAGAGATTGCTTATAATGTAAAGGATGGACAGGATTGTAACTGACTGCAGTAGTAGAGAAGGATAATTTAGAGGGCAGAACCAGCATACACACAGAGGTCAGAGTCTGCAGGGCATTTGTAGGCAATGGCAAATAGTCTTGTTTGGCCACATGGCAAAGAATGAGTACAAGATGTAATCAAAGGTAGGTTGGAGAAACCAACGAAGTCCTTGAATATCACAACAAGAAATGGGAGGTTAAAATGCACGTGTCAGATGCCCTCACTTCCGCTCTGTGAATCAGGAGCCTTTATTTGGATAGATTAATTCAGGCATCTTTGTTTGTGTTTGTTAATGTTTGTTCCTTTTCTAGAGTGTATGCCTTGCAAAGACCAGGACCTTGGCTTCTGCTGAACCTTTCCTGTAACCTGTCATTGTTCTTTTCTTTAATCTTTTGAATTTATTCTCACCTAACATGACCACTTCTGAATTTCTTCTACAAGCATTGCTGAACAATCTGGTGAGTTTTCTCCCTTTGTTGCTTGTTATTGTTCTTCATATAACAACTAGGACCTAGTGCATGCCTAAGACGTGTCATTAACTGACTTTAAATGACATAAGTAGGGGCCGGCCCCATGGGCGAGTGGTTAAGTTTGCGGGCTCTGCTTCGGCGGCCCAGGGTTTCGCCGGTTCGGATCCTGGGTGCAGACATGGCACCGCTCATCAGGCCATGCTGAGGCGGGATCTCACATGCCACAACCAGAAGGACCCACAACTAAAAATACACAACTATGTACCGGGGGGGCTTTGGGGAGAAAAAAGGAAAAATAAAATCCTTAAATAGCTTAAGTAAATTGAGATCGTGGAGTAGTTTAAACAATATGAAAAACTGTAGATTTGTATATATCAACTGGATCAAATGTGAAAACTTTGATAGAAGAGAAAGTATGTACCCTCAGGAATGCAGCAACAGCATAGTTAGAGTTGAAGGCATAACCATCTTCAGAGGAAAGTATAATTCCCTGTAAAAGTGGGTTAAGAGCCCCCTCACTTGTTTTTGTCACAGGGCCCTCCAGTGTAAGCAGCTTTCCAAATACTAAAAGATATTTTGTCGTGTACGTGCTCATTCCGATCTGCTGTGTAGCTGGTGACTATGCTGTGAATCCCCTGCATTTGTCCCATTTTGTGTTGAACAGGCGTGGTTTTTGTAATCCAAAATGAAAGAAAAATGATGCTGTTAGTCAGCTTGAACTTCTTTGCTCCTTTTATGGCAATACTGGGAGTCGCTTTCCTAATGGAGTGATATTTAAGACCAAAGAATTTGGACAGCTACAATTCCCCTAACATTTTACTTGGCTTCCCTTGTGTGGTTTTCCCATCACGGTGGGTGAAAGCATGTCACAGCTGCTGCATGCATCAGAGGCCAGGCACCAAACCTGGTCAGGCACTCCTGTAGCGAAAGTGATCTCTTCTCGGTACTTTGCCATAAATTGTGCCGCTATTGGTATCATTACCAGTTTTTTTTATGGGTCTCCAGATTTCAGTGCAGTGGAGTTTGTTAGGCATCAGTTGAAAAGCCCTATCTAACACCCATAATATCCAGACAAAAAGGAAAACCTAGTTGTCTCCAAAAACAAATGATGTACTGCTTTCACTCATCTTTTTTTATTGAAGTATTGACAGGATTAGTAGGAAGAGAATACTGGGAAGGCATTTAAATTATCTGCGAGAGAGCCCAGGCACACCAGGAGAGGTACTCATGTGCTTCCACGAGGGGTCAAGCCTCCTGACAGACACACCCATGAGACTGCAGGTCCGTGTTTGCCTTTTAGCTCCTCAGTGTCCCCACCCCTTCTTTTTGTCTGTATCTCCCAATCCACATCTTCCTTTCTGCCAACCTCTTTAGATGAAAAGCATTGAAGAGATGCCATTCCCCTTGCTTCCATGCACTTACCCACAGAGAATGTGACACTGCAAGAGAAGTGTCAAGTAAACAAAACTGAAGTAGAAATTAAGTCCAGAAGACTTCAGAACTTAGTTTCTCTGGACTTTAGTTTCCTTATTGGCCGCATAAATCATGGAGCTATCTCTTTGTCCATCTGGAATGGGACTTTGCTGTGGTTTGTCCAGCATGCTGACGTAGCTGATGAGGAGAGCCTGGACTCTGAGGTGGAGCCTCTGCCTGGGAGTTCCACAGTACTAGAGCCACCTTAGAAGGCAGCTTTCCTGACCCCCAGTCTCTGCACCGTGTCTCTGGAGGACATATCCATACTGTAACATCAAATCCATTCAACCAGGTTGAAGTACGAGATAACCAGAAGGCATTCTTCTGGGTGTTGACTAACTACAAAGTCTGTTATTAAGGAAATTTACTATAGGAAACCAAGATGCAGCCTATGCATACTATTAATAGTATTCAGATACTATTAATAGTGGTTACCTGGCAGAATGTATCTCCTTCTATTTCTTTATCTCTTTTTAATTTTGTACAAATGTTAACCATTTGCAATTCATTTTCATCATCAAAGTGAAATATTTACCAATTTAGGCATATCTCGATAGCATTTTTTCCCCCTGTTCATATTTATCTTGTTATTCTGAGTGTCAGTAGCTTGGGAAGAAGACTGTGTTTTCTTTCTTCAAACTGTCTAAGTGTTTTGGTGATTTGATAATTCAATAGCACAGAAGTGATCCCTTAGAACAAAGGAAAATTGAAACTTTAAAAAGCCAGTTTTATCCCTCTTTGTACATAAACAGTTTGTCATGTTAACTCCAATTCTTTTCTCTATCCTTCCTCTTTGGCTTTGTAACCACTTGTCATTCTGGATACCATTCCTTCCTGAAGATTCTGTGTGAATATAAAACTCTGATTTTCTTCATTTGCGTGTGATACTGTGGATAGACCTGTGCGGGTTCTTCCTCGTTCTTTTCCTTTGTTCACCTCATGCTCATCTCAGCTCACTCATTCTGAAAGCCAATATGGTTTCCAATATGAACTTCCTCCTCATCTTTATGAATGCCCAACTGAATATCTAGTGTCTGATTTCTCAGATATATCAAGACAACTCAGATTAAAGCGAATTGTTCTAACCCTCAGGGGCTAAAGCCGAGATTTGTGTTTCTTTTCTGAAACAAATCATAGCAGTTGCTAAAACTTCCCTATTGCTCAGTCTTCCCCAAGAAAGAGATATAAAGATGGTTTTAGGCTTCTGTTTTATGCCCCTTCTCGTTTGCTCTACAGGTGTAGTCACTGTGACATTCTCCATGTCCTTGAGTCCATCCTTCCATTTCCTCTGTCGACCCATGTGCCTTCCCCTCGCATTGCCCTTCCAGCCTCTCCATGCTTGAGGCCTCATAGTTCCTACAGATGCCTTGTCAACACTTTAACTGGGACCTCCCTAGAGCTCTCCAGGTGTCAATCGCCCTAGAATGAAATAGCATCAACGCTGATGACTAGCTGGTCTTCCAGTTTTGCTCAGGAGAATCATCAACCATCTTTGAATAGCTCCCTGCTCTTCCTCACTGTACGATTTAGAACATGTGCCTTTGTGATGTTTGATGTGGGCTCAGGTTTAAAGCCATTGTTTTGTCTGCCCACTGCAGCATCATATGGATGATTCTTCTGCATCTTGGTTTCAATTTCTGTAACTGCCTGTCTTTCTAAGACATCTGACAAAACCCAGCAAACAATTTTGTGTATAATACATAATCTGTCATTTAAGCAAACTCCATCCCAAACACGTCCTCTAAATGTGAAAAAAAATCCATCCTGGTGTGTGTGTGTGTGATTTTATAACAAAGAGACAGAAACTTACATTTATATAGACAACAACTTCAATTTGTGTTGGCCTTTATATTTTGTGTGATTCATTGATGTACCAAAGTGAGCTTTGTAACTAATTGCTGCCTCTTTCAAAATTATTTTCCCCAAACTGGATTACGTGACCATCCTCTGGGCTCCCTTAGTGACATTTAGGTGGGACATTGGACCAGTAATTGTACCTCTCTGAATTCTAGTTCTATCACCATTGAAATGGTGATTACTTGAGAATTGGAAGATGCACCATCATTCGCAGCTCCCTGGGAACTAACTCCGATGCTAGTTGGCTCAAAACCTGGAAGAACCAAATGAGTTTAACCATCTTCTTAAAGAGAAGAACAGTGATTGTTTGTGTAGGTTTTTCTTTTTTTTTAAAGATTGGCATCTGAGCTAACAACTGTTGCCAATCTTATTTTTTTTGTCCTTTTTGTTATTCTTCTCCCGAAAGCCCCCCAGTACATAGTTGTAGATTTTAGTTGTGAGTGCCTCTGGTTGTGCTATGTGGGACGCCACCTCAGCGTGGCCTGATGAGCGGTGCCATGTCTGTGCCCAGGATCTGAACTGGTGAAACCCAGGGCCGCTGAAGCGGAGAGCACGAACTTAACCACTCAGCCACGGGGCCGGCCCCAGCGTAGGTTTTTCTTGAGTGTAACATAAACTCTGAATATATATGGGCAGTACTCCAGGAAGAATTGAGGTTTCCTGATGTGGCAGAGTCCTTGTTAGCTACACGCGTGATCAGGAAATCTCCTGCTTTGAGGGGTACTGCTTCTCTTCAGCTATCTCTTTGGCTTCCATTAAGTTTCTGTGTGTCCAGCTAAGTACAGTGGGACTCGAGCCAGCCCACAGTGTGCGTGTTCATTGGTATGGGTTCTTCAATAGTCCACACACAACTTCCCTGGAACACTGCGCTGGTTTCTACCTTTCTGTGTACTGAAATGTTCCTTGTCCCCACATGTCCATCTCCAAAAGATAAACTCAGAGTAAGCACCATAATGTCAGGAAGACAATGACTACTCATTTTAACATCATCCACCTGATGTGTAGTTTCTGATGCATAGTGGGGCCTCAAATATTTAACTGTATGGAAAAACTTTGATGCAGTTGTGTAAGACTTTGTGCTTTAAAGTACACAACTTTTCTTATTTTATTTGAGCTCTGCAGCTAGTGGGATTTTTTGTTTTTAAAGATTTTATTTTTTCCTTTTTCTCACCAAAGCCCCCCGGTACATAGTTGTATCTTCTTCGTTGTGGGTCCTTCTAGTTGTGGCATGTGGGACGCTGCCTCAGTGTGGTCTGATGAGCAGTGCCATGTCCGCGCCCAGGATTCGAACCAACCAAATACTGGGCCGCCTGCAGTGGAGCGCACGAACTTAACCACTCGGCCACGGGGCCAGCCCCCTGCAGCTAGTGGCCTTTAAACTCTGCTTCCAAGGATAGCACTATGCCTTGAGCTGAACTGAGGGCTCTTGCCTCTAAAATCTGTTACTGGATCTTTTCTCAATTAGCTGAAAAATACCAATGAATAGTCTTTTTCCCCATTTTTGAACTCCCTTCCCACGTAATCATTTTTTTCTTAAAAGCTTTGATTTCTATAGTAAGGCTATATGTGGTTTAGCAAAGAATTATGTTTTACTATTTTCATTTACATATTATTCCAAGAAAATTAACTTGACTTTCAGGAATTCAGCTTTTTGAACAGATAACACTGCTCAAGGACATGTATGTATGTGGATTACTCTGCTGAAAAATCAAGTGCTGTTGCCTCCTTTTTCTTGGGGGGAGGGGCTTTCCTGCTTGAAAATTACATCCAGGACAGTGCATGTCCTACGTGTGTCTTAATTTATTTTAGCCTCTCAGTTCTGTGCTGTGTTGTTATCACCAGGTTTTAAATGATGAGACTTGTGTGACCAGGCAGCCCAACGTCACAGAGCCGGGAAAGATGAAGCTCAGTCTATTTGACTTCAAAACCCACGGTGCTGTCCACTGTACCAACACAGAATAGTTCTTGGAGTTAGCGTCTGATCTTTACTGTCAGCTTATAAGCTCCTTCAGGGCAGAGTTGTTTTATTTACTACCCCGCCCCGCCCCCAACAGGAGGTTCCACAAAACCAGATATGGCGTCTCCCTCTCGCTTCAGTCAGCCTTGCTTACAAGGTGCACCTTGTACTCTATCACATATACCCAAGGATTTGCCCACATCCTCTTGAGGACTTCTCATTACCTGCCTCCTGTCGTGCTCAGGGATGTAGCTTTCCTCGTCTTTGAGTTGTAGCTCAATCTCTTCCTGAAAGTCATCTTCAAATGGGGCTTGGCAATTTAAAAAGTAAATTTTAAATAAATTTTAAATTGCCAAGAGAAGGGTTGTTTAAGACTGTCTGAGATAATAGTTCATATTTAAAGATGCTCATTATTAATTACAATATGAAATGATTTGTACTTGTTATTAGCACATTAAGACAGCCAAAGAAAAATTAGAAGGTGACTCAACAAGAGACATTCAAGAGTGGAATAGGGGCCGGCCCGGTGGCGCAGCAGTTAAGTTAGCACGTTCCGCTTCTCGGCGGCCCGAGGTTTGCTGGTTCGGATCCCGGGTGCGGACATGGCACTGCTTGGCAGCCATGCTGTGGTAGGCATCCCATGTATAAACTAGAGGAAGATGGGCACGGATGTTAGCTCAGAGCCAGGCTTCCTCAGCAAAAAGAGGAGGACTGGCAGTAGTTAGCTGAGGGCTAATCTTCCTCAAAAAAAACAAAACAAAACAAAAAAAAGAGTGGAATAAAGAAGAATAGAAAAGAACAAACCTTATTCCTGATGAATTGAGAGTGTGTTTAAGAAATATCTAGCCGTCTTAAAGTTTCTTTCTTTTTTTGTTAATGTTCCAAATAGTCGATTCACTGGTAGAAAACTGAACTATCTTCTTCTGGGAGACACACTATAATACTATGGCATATTAGGTGACTACATAAACCCAAATACATGTTATTATGAAATTATGTTTTAATTTAATATTCTGTTATTAAAATGGCAGATATTGATGATAAATGAGGAGTCATAGTCATGTCCTTAAAGTTGAAGGAAAACAATCTAGTGTGGTTTCTTTAAGAAAAATATATTTATTATTTAAGAAAAATAACACATATTCTATATATATTCATATGTATGTATATGACTCAGCTGAAAAAAACGATGTAAAATTGTCAGTCACTGAAATATCCGTTTCTGTGCCTCTGAATCAACTTATTTCTTGACCTTGATGTCCCGTGCTGGTTTTTATTTATTTTTTTGTTTTGTTTTGTTTCTTTCTGTCCATGAGATTATTGACATGTCATATACTGGTCTAGGTTAAATGCTTGGAAACACCAGAGTTTCATGGAGTTTGCCCCATTCTCTCATTAATTTTAAAGACAATGAGTTGCTTCTGACGAGACCGACTGCGTTTAGATGGACTCCACGTTAGCTGTGATTCAGGGGCCCAACTTGAGAGGCACTCAGTCTTCAGGTCACCTGGAGCAGGGAAAGGACTGTTGGTGGGGGACGGGGACTCTGTGTCTCAAGAATTTAGGGTATTTTCTTTTCCTTCTACTCTTCTTAATTTTCTCTTTCACTATTTCTTTCAGAGAACAATTGCCAACCATACAAGTATTGTTCTGTTACTTGCTTAAGAAATTGTTTTCATGGAGGTGGAGAAGGTGGGAATAATGTAGTGAAGTGTCCATTAATAAGAAAGAAATGAGGGAATGTGAACTTAGACTTTATAATACCTTTTGGTGTAGTGTTTCCTCCTAAGTAGCATGTTAATTTCTTATTGTGAAAGAAGTTATTTTATAAAAAGCAACTTTTGTCTGAACAAGTATGAGAACTATTAGCAATTCTATGTTTTGTGCAAGAATGTTGGAGCACATATAAAAATTAGATTTGTAAATAACTTCAAAATGGATTCACTTTTTATAACGGTAGCATATAAAATGAGGCAAGAAAAATGTTCTTTTAAACTGCAATAGCTTGAGAGAGTTGGGGAGTTATTTTCAGAATAGTGATGAATGGGAAATTGGATTTCCACTGTTTACCACTTTTTTCCCAAAAGCACACAAATAAAAAGTTAATTTTTATATGAGAGCAATGTTTAAAGCACAAACATATTTTTTTTCAGAGTTTCCTCTATAGTGGCCAATTTTGTATGAAACAAATTATTTTAGGCCTAATTGCAGGCAGAGTAGTTAGGCTGCCAGCTCTGCTAAGGTTGAATTTCATTTGAACTTTCTAATAGTATGATCTTTTTTCAGAATTTAATAACTGACTCAAATATTTAATAGTGGAAGCTTTCATTAAATTAAAAAGAAATCACGATATATTTTTAGAAGAACTAACTTATTTTCCTTATCAGTTTTATCCACTTGAGGAGAAAAGGAAGAGAATGGAACCAATCTCTTTGTGTACTTAAAAAGACATTAATGCTATAACCCCAGCAAATAATTTATTTCAGTATATATCATCATTCAAAGGATTTGGGAGGCAGCAAATGGCAGCAATAACTATGCTGCTAGGTCTACTGAATAGCAAATTGCACTGGCTGTGTGAACCTCTTTACTTGTCTGCCTGATAATCATTCTTTTTAATACTCAAATATATTTTCTAGATCAGTTTTAGATTGCACACTGTCAGGTTTTGCATGGCCTAACAGTTTTTGGTTAAGTACAATGACTTGTTTTGAAATGCAAGTGGGGAAAGATAAGAGTTGAAAGATTTTGTTTCCATGCGTCATTCTATAAATAGAGGGCAAAAGATCATTAACTGAGTTAATTTACAAGCATCCTTAGAAATAGAATGTTTTTACATAAAAGCATGCTGTAAACCTTTTTAATTAAATTGCATTGTACCATGCACTCTCTTCCCCCTGGGGTTCTCTTGACCTCTCACCTCTTATTTTGTCCTGCAGGCACTCCTCTGCTGGTGAGGAGAAGCAGTGACCCAGCGCCAGGCCCACCTGCTGACGCCCAGCCAAGCGCTTCGCAGCCCAGTGGCCAGAGTCTGAAGCCTGCGATTCCAGTAGGTATCCTGCCGTTCACACAGCTAATGAAAGATCAAAGGGCCTTACCCATAGACTAACTGGAACTTTGCGGGCTTAAGTAAGTTGATAATTAGAGATCTTTTGATAGACTGCGTAGTGTAAGTTATAATAGTAGCTGGTACAAGCTATTACTAGGATACCGTTACAGCGATCGCTATTATTTATATAGCACTGATTATGTGTGTAGCTTTACATTATCTAAACTTCCTCGTCACACTAAGAACAAGTTTTTGTCTCCATTTTACTGATAATGAAATTGAGGCACAGGGAGGTTTAGTAATTTGTCAAAGATCACAGCCAGTAAGTGGCAGAGCCAAGAATTATACCAGGTCATTGGGCTCCGGAGTCGGGGCTCTTAAGCAGTGCTTAAGCTGTTGGATTTCCTTCCTCCTCCTGCTTCCGCATGCCCAAGGATGCAGTTTCTACGTTTGGGTGTGTTAATGCAGTGCTTTCTGAAGTCATGCCATGGGAAATGGTGATATAGTTTCAAGCTGCCAATATCATAGACCCGTGGTGCCAGTGTTAGGTTTCTAGAACTCAGCGTTCAAATTAAAGGAAAATGAAATTAGATACCCAAAGAGCTCCTAACCAGATGTACCTATTGCTACTCTGCTTATAATGGCAGGTTCAGTGGAGAATCGTTTCCTGTAGAGACAACGTCCTCCTTCCCTGTGGGACCATGGGATCTTTCTGTTAAATCTTAAGTTGCTTTGAATAGCTGCATTTGTGGTTTCTCCTTTGAAATAGCCTGAGAGGTAGATTTTGGTTGATGGCTACATATCATTGCAATAGGTGATCTTCAATCATGAAACATATTACAAAGTTTCCTAAAGGGCCAGCTCCATGGTGTAGTGGTTAAGTTTGTGTGCTCTGCTTTGGCAGCCTGGGGTTTGCAGGTTCAGATCCTGGGCAAGAGCATAGCAGGGCTCTTCAAGTCGCACTGTGGTGGCCTCCCACATAAAATAGAGGAAGACTGGCACAGATGTCAGCTCAGGGCCAATCTGCCTCAAAAAAAAAAAAGAAAAGAAAAGAAAAAAGTTTCCTAAAAGCAAGGCTCTTCCCCATTTTAAATCTCACTGCCTGCAGTGCCTTTAGAAAACATTTTCTTAATACATGGATGCTGAATAAGTTTAACAGATTCTGCCAGTATGGTATAAAATATTCTCATCAAGAACCAATGCCGATGTGTGTGAAGTGGGAGTCACCTGACCAAATCATTGGGTATTTACTAATAGGTTTATGGCAATTTCTGGCATATTTCTTTTCGTAAACAAAGAAGTAAGTGTCCTGAAAGTATTTTAGATGTAATGTTTTCTCACTCTCCATCCTTTTAAAAAAACATATTTAATGGAACATTAATAAAAACCAGGTGTATATATTCTACTTTAATGATGTGGACAAACAGAGCCGGTGTGAGACATGATGTGTGTGTGTGTCGTGTGTTGCACACACACTAATAGAGACCATGTTAAGCCTGAATATATTGGATTGGAGGAAGAGAACAACTATATAAATGAGAGAAGAATTATATAAAAGAGAAAAACTAGAATTTACTGCTTATTTTTACGATGTCAGCATACCCTAAAATGAGATCGTGTCTGATTAATGGGTTACCATCATTTACACGCAGAGAAACCGCCAACATTTAGTTCCATGTTTCTGTCACTTAGCTCTGCATTTAGACCAACTGAAAACACATCAGCGTCGCTTCCCCTGGAGGAGACCAGGGCTGCAATCTTTCTGATAGATGCCATATCCTTGTCGGAATATGATGTCTGCGAATTCCAAGTTGGGGAGATATAGTATTACTAGCAAAGAGGCAAATCCTAATTCATGAGGAAATGCAGGTACCCCAATTCCTTTTACCTAACCCCGTGCAAGTTTTCAGACATGGGTCGAGTCCCTCTGTATGAACAGTAGAAAGGAAAACACATATTTTCTCCTTTCCTCGCAGTGTTCTCTGTGGATGGTGAGGTGCAGGCCTGAGACCCAAGGAACGGAGTCCGGTCCCTGCCTTGCCACGGAGGAGGAGCACATCCTTGGCTTCTCTTGGTTCAATTTTAAAATAGTCTCCATGTAAACCGTAAGCCTTAACATTCCAAGATCCAGACATTGTGCCTCATTTATCTTTCTATCTCCAGTGCCACGTACATGGAAGGTGCCCAGTGCGTGTGTGTTGGACTTAGGAATGCAAGACACATATTAGTCAGGGAAAAGTCCCAGAAGTTCTCAGCCATCACCCAGCTTTTCTAACTCAGCCATTCTCTCTGCTCCCCAGAAGAATCTACCAGGTAAAGGTTTATCTGCTGTAAGGTCTGGTTCACCCCAGGCAAGAGAAAGATAGTTTAACTGCCCTATTGTGAAGGGTAAGCAAAGTTAGTAAGTGAAGACATTTAGATGTGTCTATTTTTACCTACAAGAAAAACACATTTGTGTGTATGTGTCTATTATAACTCTATTCATTTATCCCTGTGTGCTTTAGTTCATGGATTATTTAGACCCACATTGTCCAATATAATAGCCACTGGCCACATGTGGCTGTTGAGCACTAGAAATATATTTTAAGTGTAACGTGCACACTGGATTTGAAAGACTGAAATATGAGAAAGAGTAATGAAAATGAAAAAAAGATCTCACTAGTAATTTTTATATTGATCACCTGTTGAAATGATACTTTGGTTGAATAAAATATGTTGTTAAAATTATTTTCACCTGTTTCTTTTCACTTTGTTTTTTAAAAACATGGCTACTAGAAAATTTAAAATTACATCTGGGGTCCACATTCTATTTCTATTGGACAGAGCAGCTCTAGACAGAAGCAAAATTGGATATAGCATTAATGAAATGGTTTTGAGACCTTTGGGAGAAGTTCTTTGAGCTCCACATCATCTCTGGGGTAACAATATGATTAGGGTAGCCTGGGGCAGTCCTGGTTCATGCCTGTTGTTCTGACATAATTATTAATAGTGTCCCCACTAACTCTCAGAGGTGTCCATGTATGGATGATAAATTACGTGACACCCTACGTATAGCCCCATAGTCACTTTTGTTGTTTGCTCAGTGATAAGAGGAGCAGCCTTTCAAGAGACCAGGGGAACATAACCACTACTCACGTTGGAGCACATTGCAGAGAGGGTTCTTTGTGGCCAGGCCTGAGCCCAGGGAGTATGGAATCGGAGACTGTAGATCCTTTTCCATCTCTCAGATTTCATAATTCTGCTTGATGTTTCCTTCACAACTTCGTCAGCACCATACTTGATTCCTATGATTTAATAAGTGATGATGAATATGGGGAGTGTGTGATAATGTAGCCATGTAGCAACTAATATGAAAAATAATTGCTTAAAAAGCTCTGTTCAATTGCATTTCATTTCAATATCCGAGGGAAAAAAAAACAATCAAAATTTCCATCTCTGAAACAGTGTTCACATGTGAGTAATTCACAGATGGCAGAGCCCCAAGTGGGTTATGTTCAATCATTCCCAAGAAATGAAACTTACTTATAACCCACAGCATAAGAAGCTGTAAGGAGGAGTATTTGACACATTTGATTATGTTGAAATATTGCCTTTAAAACCACAGTTGATGACTGTTATTTTTAGTTGCACTTCATTAGGCTTACTTTAGAGGGAAGGGTTGTGTTTGATGCCCAGAGATATGTGTTTTTGAAAAGCTGGGAAAGTTGCACTTGTTTTCTGGCTGGTTAAGTTATTACAAATAGGTTGTTTAAAATGTACACCCTCAGACAAGCTGGAATTTTAAAAAGGATTTAAATTAGAAAAATCAGATTCTCTGCAAGCTTCAAATTCTGGGTATATTGAAAAGCCACCAAATCTCAGTATCTGTTACTTAGAGTGCCACCAGATGCACAGCATGGAAATTTGTTTCCTTTCTTCCTCTTTTCATAAACCTGTCCAGTTAATCAGAATAGCATAATTACGAATGTGCAAAAAGTAGGGACTGTTTATCTTTCAAGGCAATAGAAAATCCAGTTCTACTGACTGCTTTTGAATTAAAGAAAGAGAAATCTGGGGTCAAGAGATTGCAGTGAGAGTCTGCTCATGAGAAGTCTTACCTTCCTTGGCTGATTGTAACCTGGTGTTCTTGGCTTAAGGGCATGCCATAAACCCAGGTTCTTGAAATTGATGTTCCTGAATTGAGGATGGAAGAGAACTCTAAAACAGATGGTTTTTTTTTTCCGTTAATATCCGGCTAACCACTAGGGTTGTTTTGTGTTTTAATGACTATTTATAGTTTCACATTTAACCCCTAAAGCAAAATGATCCTGCAGGGCAAGTAAATTAAAAAGTAGACTCCTGAAAATTATAATGCTGTGGTCGTTCCTGGATAGTATACGACTTTGTTTGTTCTAAAACTGTTACGTGTCCTGGATCACCAAAATAAATTAAGAAAATACTGGTCTTTTAAAAGCCCATGTCTATAATATATGCATTTCATTTCAAAAAAATAACATGGCAGACTTTGAGGTTGTTCATTGGGAAGCCCATTGATGAGTTTCAGAAGGTCTGTTAACTCACTGAAGTTTTATGCCCTGGCCTTGTGTGCTCACACGAGTGTGCGTGTGTGTGTGTGTGTGTTCATGAAGGAGACTCGATCACTCTTACCAAATTTTAAAAGGCAAACAAAAGATCAAGAACTACTTGTTTTGGGGTTAGGATGAAATAATGTGGGAAAGCCTCCAATTCTTGGAGTATGATGAATGGCACACATTAAGTAGTAGAGTGGGAATTGCCACTGCCCCCCAAATATGTATTAAATAATTGAGGTTATTTCATCATATTGTCACCTTTTCTATCCAACACATAGTATGTAAATTCAAGATGTTAAGATGAATAGAAGTGTTTGAATGGCTACATTGAGAGGCCAAAAATAGCTCTTTATTCACAGCAGCAAGTTCTTAGCAACAGTAAGAGCGGGGGTAAAGGGCGCAGACTGTAGTGGGAAGACACCCTGGGGA